ACTCAGAACAGTTTAGCTGTTTCTGTTCCCAGTGTGTGACAGTTGATCTCTTCCCGCCCCATAAGTAAGATATTATCTAATGTCTGGTGGCAGATCAGGAGATGCTGGTCAAAAAGCAGTGCTCAGGATGTGCCAGGGGACCCATCTGGCTGTCACTTGCCAGCTGTGGTGTCATTTTGACGCTACTTGGCAGAACTAATCAGGCAGACCTGAGTTGAGCAGTTGACGCTTGTCACTCCTCATTTACCATCAGACATTTGTTCATTCGGGCGGATGGTTTTTAGTTTTCAGTATAATTCGTGGTCGGCACAACTGCTCATTGCTCTAGGGTGTGTGATGTCTGTGCCTGACTGTCTGTTCTTGCCAAATCTTTGAGCATTATTGAGAGCCACCCTTTTTTCAAAAGTGAATCCCTCAGTCCTTGTGCAGACATCAACAGCAGTTTGGTGTCAGGTTGGCAGGAAGAGACCATGAACCAGCAGCCACTACTCACTATGCCAGGTGCTTAGGAGCTGGGAGTCTGGCAAAGTCAGAGGGCTGGTACAGACAGAGCATCAGTCCATGGAGGTCTCAAGGAAGGTCCTAGAAGCCAAAGCACAGGGCCAGGAGCCAGAAGAGATCAGGGAGAGTGGCGGGTGAGAGGGGATTTGCTGGAGTTTGGAGAAACCCGGCTGCTGTAGCTGGGAGAAAGCTGGCTGCCGGCGCCGAATTCAGTGTGTGTGTGACCTCATCACCAGTTCACAAGTGCACAAGATAGTTCTGTGCAGTAAGGGCAATCCCAGAGGGCCAAGGGATGCAGAGGAAGCAGTAATTATGCCTGAAATTTTTCAGGACGGACTTCACAGAGAAGCTGCCATTAAGTCTATTACAGAGGGACTGGAGAGGTGGCTCAGCACTGGCTGCTCTTGCAGAAACGTAGCTGGGAGAAAGCTGGCTGCCGGCACCGAATTCAGTGTGTGTGTGACCTCATCACCAGTTCACAAGTGCACAAGATCGTTCTGTGCAGTAAGGGCAATCCCAGAGGGCCAAGGGATGCAGAGGAAGCAGTAATTATGCCTGAAATTTTTCAGGACGGACTTCACAGAGAAGCTGCCATTAAGTCTATTACAGAGGGACTGGAGAGGTGGCTCAGCACTGGCTGCTCTTGCAGAAAACTCAGGTTCAAATCCCAGCACCCACATGGTTGGCTAACAACCATCTGCAATGCCAGCTCCAGGGGATTCGACAGATGACACCCCCCCTCCATCCTCCTCGGGCATTGCAGGACACGGGTGCACTTACACACATACCGCAATACACATACAAATAAAATAAAAATCATTTTAAAAATCTTTTGCACGGATTTCTCTTCATTAATGATGAGACGGGATCTCAGACAGAAGAAACAAATGAAGGGACGTTGGCATGAGCGAGCACAGGAAGGGGTGACTCTTGACTACGTTGCTCAGTGTCTGGAAAGAAAGCTTTGGAAAGAGAATAAAATAGAGACGAAAGGTAGATCAGGCTGGACAGTACCGGAATAGCCAAGGTGAGAAATGGTGTTGAACATGACCAGGTGGAGAATGTATGCATGTCCAGACAGACAGAACTGTTGACAGGTTCTTACTAGGTAGCCCAGACTGGTCTGGAACTCCCAATCTTCCTGCCCCTGCATCCAGAGTGCTGGGGTGATAGGTGTGTACCAGACCTAACATTGATGTATAAATTCCTCGCGTGGACCAGTTCTTACGCTAATCCAAAGCTCAGCTCATATGATCCACTCAGAGACGCTGCCCTCCCCCTTGACCTCTCATATTATCACACATCTGCCCACAGAGCAGTTTGGTCATTAGTTTGATTCTGATCACATTGGTGTACTGTTAAATTCATACATATATCACTCATCCCTGACTTGAGATGGGGACTGGTCTCAGTTTTGCACTTCTCAAACCGAATAGCGTGTCTTAAACATAACTGCAGTAGCAGTTATTGTTGACAGTGAGAACGTAATAATTGACTTAAAGACCCTGAGAAGTAGGAAGGGGCTTAAGCCTGATCACCATCCAAGAAAGAACCAGGCCCTGCGATCTGAATCCTGCTTTGAGCTCCTTCCATTCAGAGGGCTCACGTCTTTAGAAGAAAAACAGATCTAGCTTTAGACAATTGATAATTCCAAAGATATATAGATGATAGATAGATGACCGATAGATGACCGATAGATGATAAATAGATGATAGATGATATATAGATAGATGATAGAGGATAGATAGGTGTCAGATAGATAGATGATAGATGATATATAGATAGATAGATAGATAGATAGATAGATAGATAGATAGATAGATAGATTACCTCTTTAGAAGAAAAACAGATCTAGTTTTAGACAATTGATAATTTCAAAGATATATAGATGATAGATAGATGACCGATAGATGACAGATAGATGATAAATAGATGATAGATGATATATAGCTAGATGATAGAGGATAGATAGGTGTCAGATAGATAGATGATAGATGATATATAATCGATAGATGATAGATAGATGCTTGATGATAGATGATTGATAGATAATAAATGGTAGATGATTGATAGGTGATTGATAGAGAGATGATGGTGATATATTGATTATAGATGATAGATAACAGATGGTAGATGATTGATAGATGATAGATAGATGATTGGTGATAGATGATAGATAGATAATAGTAGATAGATGAGTTTACACTAGCCTGTTGTAATGTTCTCCTGCCGTACACAGTGTTTGTTCCTCTCAAGGTAGTGATGTGGCTTCAACATTTTTTTTCCATTTTTCATGTGGTGTATGTATGTGTTTATGTGTGTGTGCATGTATGCATGTGGAGGCCCAAGATGGACAAGAATCACCCTCAATCACCCTTCCATATTATTCATTGAGACAGGGAACGTGGCTTCAACAATTTTTTTTCCATTTTTCATGTGGTGTATATATATGTTTATGTGTGTGTGTGTGTGTGTATGCATGTGGAGGCCCAAGACGGACAAGAATCACCCTCAATCACCCTTCCATATTATTCATTGAGACAGGGAATATCAGTTAGGTTTCCTGCTGCTGTGATAAACCACTCTGACCAAAGCCAGTTTGGGGAGGAAAGGGTTTATTGCATCTTACACTTCTGTGAGGGGAGTCAGGCAGGAACTAAAGTACAGGCCGTAGAGGAATGCTGCTTAAGGGCTTTTTTTTTTTTTTTGGTCTTTTCGAGACAGGGTCTCTCTGTAGACTCAGCTGGCCTGGAACTTGCAACGTAGACCAGGCTGGACTTGAACTTACAGAGATCTCCTGCCTCTGCCTTGGAGTGCTGGAACTAAAGGTGTGCGCCATGGCGCCTGCTTTCTTATACAACTCAGGACCACCTGCTTGGGGCAGCACCACCCACAGAGGGCTGGGCACTTCCACATCATTCAACAATCAAGAAATGCCTTCCAGACATGCTCACGGGCCAACCTAATTCCCCACTTGAAGTTCCCTCTTCCTGGGTATATGAAGTTGACAGTGAACCACACAGTCTCTCTTGAACCCAGAGCTCACCAGCGGATATGACCAGTCTTGCTGGCCAGCTTGCTCTGGGGAATCCCCTGTCTGGGTCTTCCAAGGCTGGAACTCCAGAGGGGCCTGGCAGCCCACCCAGCATTTAGTAGTTTCTAGAGATCCAGCTCTCTTCCTACACTTGTGTGACAAGTGCCTTCGCCTCTGAGCCATCTCCCCAGCGCCTTGGCTCTAAGTTAAAGAACCGCCCTGATTCCAACTTTCAGGCCCTTCTATATTGGGACTCCTGTTGTTTTTCTCACTTTCAATTCTGTGATATTCAGCATTCGTTGAATAATCTGGAAAAATTAACCATATTTGGCTTCCTGATGTTAACACATCACTATTTCCTTCAGCAGTTGCTCAGGTTTGTCATCGCCCTT